TGCGGAACAAGGAATCGTCGTGGGACGAGCAATAGGCACTGGACGAGCAACCGGCGCGAGACGAGCAATCGGCGCAGGATGAGAATGAGTGCAGAAGAGGAACTGGCGCGGGATAACAATCGGCGTTAAACAAGCAACTGGCGCGTTAGCAGTCATTGTGGGAAACAGCAATCGGCGCAGGATGAGAATGGGTGCAGAAGAGGAACTGGCGCGGGATAACAATCGGCGTTAAACAAGCAACTGGCGCGTGACTAGCAGTCATTGTGGAAACAGCAATCGGCGCAGGATGAGAATGAGTGCAGAAGAGGAACTGGCGCGGGATAACAATCGGCGTTAAACAAGCAACTGGCGCGTGACTAGCAGTCATTATGGAAACAGCAATCGGCGCTGGATGAGAATGAGTGCAAGGAACTGGCGCGGGATAACAATCGGCGTTAAACAAGCAACTGGCGCGTGACTAGCAGTCATTGTGGAAACAGCAATCAGCGCAGGATGAGAATAGTGCAGAAGAGGAACTGGCGCGGGATAACAATCGGCGTTAAACAAGCAACTGGCGCGGTGACTAGCAGTCATTGTGGAAACAGCAATCGGCGCAGGATGAGAATGAGTGCAGAAGAGGAACTGGCGCGGGATAACAATCGGCGTTAAACAAGCAACTGGCGCGTGACTAGCAGTCATTAATGGAAACAGCAATCGGCGCTGGATGAGAATGAGTGCAGAAGAGGAACTGGCGCGGGATAACAATCGGCGTTAAACAAGCAACTGGCGCGTGACTGGCAGTCATTATGGAAACAGCAATCGGCGCAGGATAGTGCAGAAGAGGAACTGGCGCGGGATAACAATCGGCGTTAAACAAGCAAAACTAGCAGTCAACTGGCGCAGGTGAATACTGGCGCGGGATAACAATCGGCGTTCATAGCAGTGGAAACAGCAATCGGCGCAGGATGAGAATGAGTGCAGAAGAGGAACTGGCGCGGGATAACAATCGGCGTTAAACAAGCAACTGGCGCGTGACTAGCAGTCATTGTGGAAACAGCAATCGGCGCAGGATGAGAATGAGTGCAGAAGAGGAACTGGCGCGGGATAACAATCGGCGTTAAACAAGCAACCGGCGTGACTAGCAGTCATTATGGAAACGGCAATCGGCGCAGGATGAGAATGAGTGCAGAAGAGGAACTGGCGCGGGATAACAATCGGCGTTAAACAAGCAACTGGCGCGTGACTTTAAGTCATTGTGGAAACAGCAATCGGCGCAGGATGAGAATGAGTGCAGAAGAGGAACTGGCGCGGGATAACAATCGGCGTTAAAACAAGCAACTGGCGCGTGACTAGCAGTCATTAATGGAAACAGCAATCGGCGCAGGATGAGAATGAGTGCAGAAGAGGAACTGGCGCGGGATAACAATCGGCGTTAAACAAGCAACTGGCGCGTGACTAGCAGTCATTGTGGAAACAGCAATCGGCGCAGGATGAGAATGAGTGCAGAAGAGGAACTGGCGCGGGATAACAATCGGCGTTAAACAAGCAACTGGCGCGTGACTAGCAGTCATTGTGGAAACAGCAATCGGCGCAGGATGAGAATGAGTGCAGAAGAGGAACTGGCGCGGGATAACAATCGGCGTTAAACAAGCAACTGGCGCGTGACTAGCAGTCATTGTGGAAACAGCAATCGGCGCAGGATGAGAATGAGTGCAGAAGAGGAACTGGCGCGGGATAACAATCGGCGTTAAACAAGAAACTGGCGCGTGACTAGCAGTCATTGTGGAAACAGCAATCGGCGCAGGATGAGAATGAGTGCAGCAGGAACTGGCGCGGGATAACAATCGGCGTTAAACAAGCAACTGGCGCGTGACTAGCAGTCATTGTGGAAACAGCAATCGGCGCAGGATGAGAATGAGTGCAGAAGAGGAACTGGCGCGGGATAACAATCGGCGTTAAACAAGCAACTGGCGCGTGACTAGCAGTCATTTGGAAACAGCAATCGGCGCAGGATGAGAATGAGTGCAGAAGAGGAACTGGCGCGGGATAACAATCGGCGTTAAACAAGCAACTGGCGCGTGACTAGCAGTCATTTGGGAAACAGCAATCGGCGCAGGATGAGAATGAGTGCAGAAGAGGAACTGGCGCGGGATAACAATCGGCGTTAAACAAGCAACTGGCGCGTGACTGGGAAACAGCAATCGGCGCAGGATGAAATGAGTGCAGAAGAGGAACTGGCGCGGGATAACAATCGGCGTTAAACAAGCAACTGGCGCGTGACTAGCAGTCATTGTGGAAACAGCAATCGGCGCTGGATGAGAATGAGTGCAGAAGAGGAACTGGCGCGGGATAACAATCGGCGTTAAACAAGCAACTGGCGCGTGACTGGCAGTCATGGAAACAGCAATCGGCGCTGGATGAGAATGAGTGCAGAAGGAACTGCGCGGGATAACAATCGGCGTTAAACAAGCAACTGGCGCGTCGTCATTGTGGAAAAAAATCGGCGCTGGATGAGGTGGGTGCAGAAGAGGAACTGGCGCGGGATAACAATCGGCGTTAAACAAGCAACTGGCGCGTGACTAGCAGTCATTATGGAAACAGCAATCGGCGCTGGATGAGTGCAGAAGAGGAACTGGCGCGGGATAACAATCGGCGTTAAACAAGCAACTGGCGCGGACGCAGGATGGAAACAGCAATCGGCGCAGGATGAGAATGAGTGGCGCGGGATAACAATCGGCGTTAAACAAGCAACTGGCGCGTGACTAGGGATTGTGGAAACAGCAATCGGCGCAGGATGAGAATGAGTGCAGAAAGGAACTGGCGCGGGATAACAATCGGCGTTAAACAAGCAACTGGCGCGTGACTAGCAGTCATTGTGGAAACAGCAATCGGCGCAGGATGAGAATGAGTGCAAAGGAACTGGCGCGGGATAACAATCGGCGCAAGCAATTGGAAACAGCAATCGGCGCAGGATGAGAATGAGTGCAGAAGAGGAACTGGCGCGGGATAACAATCGGCGTTAAACAAGCAACTGGCGCGTGACTAGCAGTCATTGTGGAAACAGCAATCGGCGCAGGATGAGAATGAGTGCAGAAGAGGAACTGGCGCGGGATAACAATCGGCGTTAAACAAGCAACTGGCGCGTGACTAGCAGTCATTCAGGAAACAGCAATCGGCGCAGGATGAGAATGAGTGCAGAAAGGAACTGGCGCGGGATAACAATCGGCGTTAAACAAGGTAACTGGCGCGTGACTAGCAGTCATTGTGGAAACAGCAATCGGCGCAGGATGAGAATGAGTGCAGAAGAGGAACTGGCGCGGGATAACAATCGGCGTTAAACAAGCAACTGGCGCGTGACTAGCAGTCATTGTGGAAACAGCAATCGGCGCAGGATGAGAATGAGTGCAGAAGAGGAACTGGCGCGGGATAACAATCGGCGTTAAACAAGCAACTGGCGCGTGACTAGCAGTCATTAATGGAAACAGCAATCGGCGCAGGATGAGAATGAGTGCAGAAGAGGAACTGGCGCGGGATAACAATCGGCGTTAAACAAGCAACTGGCGCGTGACTAGCAGTCATTGTGGAAACAGCAATCGGCGCTGGATGAGAATGAGTGCAGAAGAGGAACTGGCGCGGGATAACAAATCGGCGTTAAACAAGCAACTGGCGCGTGACTAGCAGTCATTGTGAAACAGCAATCGGCGCTGGATGAGAATGAAGTGCAGAAGAGGAACTGGCGCGGGATAACAATCGGCGTTAAACAAGCAACTGGCGCGTGACTAGCAGTCATTTGGAAACAGCAATCGGCGCTGGATGAGAATGAGTGCAGAAGAGGAACTGGCGCGGGATAACAATCTGCGTTAAACAAGCAACTGGCGCGTGACTAGCAGTCATTGTGGAAACAGCATTCGGCGCAGGATGAGCAATATGCAATCGAAGAGCAGTCGGCGCGGAACGATCAGTCGGCGCGTGACTAGCTGTCGGTGTGGAACAAACAATAAGTGTGGGACGAGCAATACGCGGTGTAATGCAATCGGCGCTGAACGAGCGATAGGCAATCTGCGCGGGAAGTGCAATCGGCGCGGGAAGTGCAATCAGCGCGGGACGAGTAATCGTTGAATTCAAATTCCTGCCTTTTTTATTACATTCACTTTCGAACTAATGTTTTCTAGATTTGGGTTTGCAGCTATGAGAAAGAAAAAAATCCAAATTCAAAATTGGGAATATGGTAACGTTAAAGAGGAAATAATTAGTATTCACAGATAATAAAGGAAAGCACACTTTGGGGAAGCATGATTGCCTAAGCCCTGTAAGAACATGGTATTGCTAATTGAGAAAAATATGTCTTATCTTTCAGAGATTTCACTTAAATATATTTAACCTGCATTAAAATAAATTAACAGGATATAATATTGACGGTATTATTCTTCCGAATGGCTAATAATGTTAAAAAAAGAAATAATTTGACTTAAAATATTTTTACCCTTCCTTTCCTTTAAAGAAGTAACCTTTGCCGTGCTGATGTTGCTACGTGCCTTACTTCTTGCCTATCTCAAACTGCGAATTTTTTCTAACCTCTATACTAAACATTAAATCTGTTACGAAAAAAGAACTAAACAAAATGAACACAAAACGATCAGCTTTAAAAAAAGAACTCGTAACTAGAAAAACCGAATGAAAAAAGAATGTTAACAACAAATACTTTTTCACACGCAACCCAGTTCTACGGAATCAGAATCAACGTTGAGTTTAAGCAAGCGAATGAGCCAATTGGAGTAAAGTGCCATGCAGATTTAAATTTTTCCCACTTGTGACGAATGCAGCTATCGATTTTTTTTACATCCTAGCATGCTAGTTAACATTCGTGTCAGTCAGCTGTTGGCTCTCACGCTGACCAATAGAATATTCCTGCTTATTCGTGGCAGCCAGCTATAGGCTCTCACACTAGCCAGTATAAAATGGCTTCAAACTACATGAAAACTGCCGTAGAAGCATGAAAAACATCGATTATTTCCACTATCGATGGGAGTTGGGAAATGCAAATTCGGTCTTGGCCTTCACGCTAACTTGGAGCATGTGCATGTAAAGTTTGGTGCAAATCTGTTGAAAATTGCGGCCGTGCATTCGTTACACACACACACACACACACACACACACACACACACACACACACACACACATCCTGCCTTTTATGGATAGATATCTAACAATTATTATACATCTTTTTTGTAATATTTTACAATTATTTACAGTTTTTATTTATTGAAATAACAGCATATTTTGCTAGTATTTATTAATAATTCGAATACTGAGTTAAATATATTTTCCATTCAATGTATCTTATACACAAGATATTGACTTTATTTGGATTTATTCTTGAAAGATTAAGGTAGCGAAATCCATTTCTAAGCAAAAAACCTCGGGTGTTTCTGTATTTGTCAGACGATATTTAAAACGAAATACTCAAACGTAGGTAAAATTTATGAAGCTAATTTTCAGTGTCAGTATTTATCACATCTAACCACAGTTTTACATCGAGTGCAAATTTGATTTTCAAAAATAAAGTGAAAAATTCAACTGTACACGCTTGTATGTCGTTAAAAGAAACTTGCGTGTCATATAATGCATATAGTGAGAAAAGGGATAAAAAAAGAATTTCATCCAAATATCTTGCTTTTGCATTCTCTCATGTCAACATTCAGAATCTAAAATAAGATAGGAAATTTATTATTTTTAATTTCGAAAAATTCTAAAAAATAATTTCAATATCCGAATTCTGGATAAGAGGAAACATATTTTGTATAAATGTTATCATAAAGATTGTCTATCTATCTATTCATATATATATATATATATATATATATATATATATATATATATATATATATATATATATTATTTGCGAAAAGGATTTCGCCATTGTATATCATTAACTTTACTAATCTACTTTTTGTATAAATAATTCATTGTAATATATATATATTATACAAAATTTTAAAGGTGCATTAACCTACAAATCAGCGATGAATGTTATCTTTGTAAAATTATAAACTGTGTAAAGTCTTTTGCAAGTACTTTCAACTGCACATTCAGCCATCCTCATTTATGGAAATTATTTTATTTTGGTAAAATTCAGGTAGCATCCGAGACAAAAAAGTTAAGTGCTAATCGAAATATGTTTATATATAGTTGCGATGAAACCTCCTGCACCCATTATTTTTTCTCTTTTTACGCTCATGCTCTACAAAACGAGATCCATCATCATTAGAAACCAGATATATATATATATATATATATATATATATATATATATATATATATATATATATACTTCTTGCAATATCTCTTGTATGTTTGCTCTTATATCCATATTCTACTTTCTGTCTATTAGACACAGACACACCACACATTTACACTCACACAGACACACATATATCTCGTTATATATATATATATATATATATATATATATATATATATATATATATATGTATATATATATATATATATAGTTAGATAGATATAATATCGATATTTATATCGAGGTTGAGAAAGTGTGGTAGGTAGATATATATATATATATATTGATACATTATTTGTTCGTTTATGTCATACGCTTAAATGACTGCTTAATTTTTTCGGCGTATCTCAATTGCGAACATATTAACCTTTTGTTCATCAAGTAAACGCAGTTGAAGTTTATGTATTTGCGATGCTTGCATCACAGATTTCCGGAGCAAAATAGATCGATTCGCTACGAACATATCCACTGCTTTACACATGAAAATTCCAAGTGTTTTGATAGCAAGAAAAACTACGAGAAATGTAACTTTTCTACCATAACGAATTCAGGTAGGTAAAGTTTATAAAAATCAAAAAACAAAATAACAAGAAATAACAAAAGAGTAGTTGATATGATATGAGTAATGTATATTTCTCAAGTTGCAATTTGAGAGAATTTTGTGTATATATATATATATATATATATATATATAATATTTTTGTGTTTAAAAATATGATTCTTCGCTACAAAATAGTTCTTATATTTCAAAAACGAGAGCCGAAACTATTCAAATAATTATTAAAATTAAGTTGAATTGAGGTATTTAGTCCCGTTTAATCTTCAAGCGAAATTTTAGGAATAAGCTATCTTTTGTTTTACGTCTGTTTTTAGGCATGGTCCGTTATAACATTCGTTATTGTGGGAGTGGCTAGACTAGTATTGTTCGTTAAATGGTCAGAGAGTTAATTCTTATCTATAGATTCATCATCTTCTGAGAGGTTTTGCTAAGGGTGGGAAGGGTATCTATTTCAAGGCTAATGTTGGCGTTCATCCTTTAGTTAGTTCCCAGTGAGGGATATTTTTATGGCGCGCCTACAAGTCGTTATGTGTCGGGAAAATTGTGTTTTATTATTGTCTGATTATCTATTTATTTATTTCTTTATTCACGTGGGTGTTTTATATACAAACCGTATTGCACTGAATTTCAATTTGTTTTTTTTCGATTGGTTTTTGACGACTACAGAAAGGGTTTTTCCTATTTAATGATTTGGCTATCTTTTAAGACATTTATTAAACTATGGGATATTTTTTATGCTAATTATTTAATGCAAAAATTTGTTGATGTCGGCAAAAAACCGTTAACTCCTGCCTATGGTTTAATAATTTTTATTATTTAGAAATATATATATATATATATATATATATATATATATATATATATATATATATGTTATTTACTATAAGTTTTCATATTCACAAAAACAGTTTACTCAGTAAAATATGCAACTTCGTTTCAGTGCATTTCAATTGCACTTCGACAGATATACTGCTCTACTATCGGTATCGTGGCCTCTTTTCAATTAAAGCTGTGAACGTAAGAATTTATATTATTTTCGTTGTAATTGCATCGGATATATATATATATATATATATATATATATATATATATATATATATTGCTTCATCTTTCTCTATTTTACGCTTATGCTGTATAGCACAGACAACTGCAGGATATGTCGTCCTCATTTCAAGTCTCTCCCTATATATATATATATATATATATATATATATATATATATATATATATATATATATATATTCATTAGAACAAGTTTGGTCAAATATTAGAGACATACTATGTCTGTCTAGTTTTGTTCTAGTCCTTACGAATCCACGAATCAATTTATTGTTAGTCGTATTGATATATAAATTTACCAAAGTTTACTTTCATAAATGTTTATTTTCCCATGTACTTTCAGTCTCATCTCAGACTATATTATATATATATTATATATATATATATATTAGCCTAGAAAATGAAGTAATTTATACCACGGAAAATAAAAAATTCAATTTACCTAAGATATGAAGATGACATTCTCATTTTAGTCTAAAAGATAAATGAAATACACGCATTACAAAAAAAAGCTTTCAAAAATACACCGTGCTTCGTCTCACGTATGAGAAATG